AACCATCCACCCCCATCCTAGCCAGGCAAAGCCTACCGAGATGTTAACTTATGTTTCAGAAGCGACTTGGGCCCCCCCCCCCCCAAGCGACAGCTCGGCCAAAAGTAGGCCCCCCACCATTTGGACGTTACTCATAGAGCAGCCACAGAAATCTCGTCTCAATGCAGCTGATGCGGCCGCTACAGTCCACGTAGACTGTGCCTTCGGGGTTTCTTTTACACATCGGTTATAGCTTTCATACACGCATGTTTTTGGAGCGTACAAGGCAATTAATGACTTTTGAAATTCGTCAAATTATTTGGTGATGCTGCTGCTGCTGCTCCATTGGCAGTATTGCAAAAGCACAAACATAGCAGAAACGCAACACTGCGTGTGATAATTACATAGCAGGACACGTTTATAGCACTTTAAACGAGATGCTGCTCGCATGCTATGGGGCAGGACCATTGCCGGAAATATATTCAGATTTTATTTGGTGCTATAAAAGGCAATTATTGCGAAACGTCGCTCGTTTATCTTGTAAAAAGCACACTAATTTACGAATGTATTAGTGTGTCTACTATCTATACGTGACTGTATAATGTTCACGTAAGGAGCGGTGGCGCAGTGGTTAGCGGCGCGACTCGAGTTCTACGTCAGAGGGCGTTTGCTTTAACACTCAAGTTCCGACATATCAACACAAACATTGACCAGCCGTGGTGAAGTATGGTCAAACAAACCCCTCCCCTTCCACAATATCTGGACTTGTCTTAATATAAATGAATGCATAGATTTCTGTTTATATGATTGTGGTTATGGTTGTAATTTACTAATCCCTAATCTCTGCCATTACATACAATGAAACAAGAAAAGGTAAAAAAGTAAAAACAGAGCATTGTAACACAATACACTGATACATTATTGTAAAAAAAGTCCATCCCATGTGTTAGTGAATTTTTAAATATTTTAATCAGGAAATTAGTTTTCAAATTTAGATTTTTTTTCTGGGTTGGGGCCCCCCAGACCCCTGGAAGATTTGGTCCCCCCACCCAATGTTGACTCCATGTCTACGGCCCTTGGTCTATACACATTCTAGATATGTGGGGAGCGGTAGTGTAGTGGTTGGTGAGCGCGCTGCGCTACAAACCCGGCGGCCCGAGTTCGAATCCCGCTCGAACTGGCCAACACCAGGTGAACATTATTGGAACCGGTCCTGGGCTTCCCCTAGGTCGACTCGGCCTAAAATGAGTACACAAGTGTGGTGTGTAAACATCGATTCTAGGGAGACAAAGGCGGCCGGGCGCGGTGCTGGCCACCCACACACACCCCCTCGTGTGCCGTTCCGGCCTTCATAGGTGCTCGCTAACAGCACTTGCCCCAACATTTGTTAAGGCTATACGGGGGATCTTTGTCTTTGTTTTATATACACATATGTGTATCTTGCACGTATGCACAGACGTAGTACTTGTAAACTGAACCGCGTTTGCCTGCGATGCCAAGGCACGCGTGTCAACTTGAACGTTTATTTGTAGACAGTCGCAACAGCAAGTCTCCTCGACACCGTTGTGGATCCACTGCTGGATGATGAGAGCCTCTTGTCCATCAAGCCGTGGGGGGGGAGGCGGCGTTGTTTGGCCATACTTCTCCACGCCGTGTCGGGGTGACGCAGAACCGGTTCAGTATTCCGCCGCCACCCCCCCATGGTAGAGCCGCGTGGTGGCCGCGAATTTGGGAGCTCGGGAGGGACCCGGAGGCTCTCCTGAACGCCGCGTGAATCACGGCGCCACCGCTCCCATCACAGACTGCGTGTGTGTGTGTGTACTATGTGTGTGCAGCGTGTGTCCACTGTGTGTGTGTGCGTCCACTGTGTGCGTCCACTGTGTGTGTGTACTGTGTGTGTGTGCTGTGTGTGTGGTGTGTACTGTGTGTGTGGTGTGTGTGCGGCGTGTGTCCACTGTGTGTGTGGTGTGTGTGTGTACTGTGTGTGTGGTGTGTGTGTGCGCGTCCACTGTGTGTGTGTACTGTGTGTGTGTGGTGTTTGTGCACTGTGTGTGCGGGGTGTGTGTGTACTGTGTGCGTGGTGTTTGTGCACTGTGTGTGTGGGGTGTGGTGTTTGTGCACTGTGTGTGTGGGGTGTGTGTGTACTGTGTGTGTGGGGTGTGTGTGTACTGTGTGTGTGGGGTGTGTGTGTACTGTGTGTGTGGGGTGTGTGTGTACTGTGTGTGTGGGGTGTGTGTGTACTGTGTGTGTGGGGTGTGTGTGTACTGTGTGTGTGGGGTGTGTGTGTACTGTGTGTGTGGGGTGTGTGTGTACTGTGTGTGTACTGTGTGTGTGGGGTGTGTGTGTACTGTGTGTGTACTGTGTGTGGGGTGTGTGTGTGGGTGTGGTGTACTGTGTGTGTGTGTACTGTGTGTGGGGTGTGTGTGTACTGTGTGTGGGGTGTGTGTGTACTGTGTGCGGGGTGTGTGTGTACTGTGTGCGGGGGTGTGTGTGTACTGTGTGCGGGGTGTTTGTGCACTGTGTGTGGGGGTGGGTGTTTGTGCACTGTGTGTGCGGGGTGTGTGTGTACTGTGTGTGGGGTGTGTGTGTACTGTGTGGGGGGTGTGTGTGTACTGTGTGTGGGGTGTGTGTGTACTGTGTGTGGGGTGTGTGTGTACTGTGTGTGGGGTGTGTGTGTACTGTGTGCGGGGTGTGTGTGTACTGTGTGCGGGGTGTGTGTGTACTGTGTGCGGGGTGTGTGTGTACTGTGTGCGGGTGTGTGTGGTACTGTGTGCGGGGTGTGTGTGTACTGTGTGCGGGGTGTGTGTGTACTGTGTGCGGGGTGTGTGTGTACTGTGTGCGGGGTGTGTGTGTACTGTGTGCGGGGTGTGTGTGTACTGTGTGCGGGGTGTGTGTGCACTGTGTGCGGGGTGTGTGTGCACTGTGTGCGGGGTGTTTGTGCACTGTGTGTGTGGGGTGGGGTGTTTGTGCACTGTGTGTGTGGGGTGGGGTGTTTGTGCACTGTGTGTGTGGGGTGGGGTGTTTGTGCACTGTGTGTGTGGGGTGTGTGTGTACTGTGTGTGTGGGGTGTGTGTGTACTGTGTGTGTGGGGTGTGTGTGTGTACTGTGTGCGTGGTGTTTGTGCACTGTGTGTGTGGGGTGTGGTGTTTGTGCACTGTGTGTGTGGGGTGTGTGTGTACTGTGTGTGTGTGGTGTGTGTGTACTGTGTGTACTGTGTGTGTGTACTGTGTGTGTGTGGTGTTTGTGCACTGTGGGTGTGGGGTGTGTGTGTGTACTGTGGGTGTGGGGTGTGTGTGTACTGTGTGTGTGTGGTGTTTGTGCACTGTGTGTGTGGGGTGTGGTGTGTGTGCCCACTGTGTGTGTGTGTGTGGCGTGGTGTGTGGGGAGCGGTGGTGTAGCGGTTGGCGCGCTGCGCTACGCAGGCTTTCGCGACCAATATTATATAATAAAAGGGTTGTTGGGTTAGATCGCGTTATTTATAAATGTGTCGCAACCCTCCACCACCCGACGCGTTAACAAAAGCCAAAATAGTTCACTACTTTAGCCCACCGGTGTGTTGAAGAGCGAATCCACAACATTTAACATTTTCAAGTACGACGTTTCGCTGCTAATTACAGCCAGTTTCATCGGGCAATCGGGTTAAACAATGACGGTCACCCTTGCTGCTGCTGCTACTCTATTTAAGACCGGGAGCAAGTGGAGGGCTTCACGATTCCTGTTGCCGGGTGTAATTACCTGCGAAACGTCGAACTTAAAAATGTTAAATGTTGTCGATTCGCTCTTCAACACACCCGGTGGGCTAAAGTAGTGAACTATTTTGTCAACGTGACACTTTTTTTTGCTGATTGGCCGTGTCGGGTGGTGGAGGGTTACGACACATTTATAAATAACGCGGTCTAACCCAAAAACCTTTTACTATGACCACAACAGTAACGATTCATCCTGGGCCTCCCCTAGGTCGACTCGGCCTCAAATGAGAGTATCCGGTGCGATGTGTAAACATCGGCGCCAGGGAGACAAAGGCGGCCGGGCGTGGTTGCTTCCCACCTTCTTTCGCCAGCAGCCCGAAACGTCTGTTAAGACTACGGCGCGGGGCTCCGTGTTAAAAGTGTGACCTCTGTTCGATGCAGATACATTTTTAGAATTATTGTGCAGATGCTTAAATGATGGCAATCACTACGACGTTAGTGCGATGTAAATTATCGCTTCCGACAATACACAACTTTGCGTTTAGGCGCGCGTGTGTGTGTGTGTATATAGACGTTAACTTTCTGGATGAATTTTGTTTTAACGCTGAAAAGAACTGTGATTTTTGTTTAGTTTTTTATTTAGAGAATGAGTTTTTTTTTTCATCGCAAGGCCGGAGCAGCATGTCTGATCACGATGGTGATGACATCGCCTAGCTTAGCAGTGGATCGACCACGGCTGCTGAGAGTGACTCATTCATCAATAAGAAAATCGATTTATAAAATCGATTTATAAAATCGATTTCTAAAATTATCGAGCAAAGACCATCTGATGTTCTCCAACGAGCCCTGGCATTGTTGAGATCATCCTCGACGGATGGTTTAAAGTATCAATGTATTTTTTTATGATCAGAATAGCGATAATTCAAGTGTGTTTCATAGTAGCCGAGTGCCATTTAAGGTCATAACGAATAGTTAAATGTATCGCGATGACGTCACAACAGGGCGTGCTGTACATGATCGGGGTTGGGCCATTCGGACCGTACCATTCATGAACGGGGTGGTATGGGTACATTTATTCTTTAACTTTGTCCATATATAACCCCGCTTAAAACGTGCTACCACCACCACGACTCTTAATTTAATAGCCCTTAGCAAAATGCTAAGCGTCGAGATTGGAGTTTGTTTCGTATGGCCGTCGATGACTTTTGAAGGGCATGGTGACAATTTTTGTCTCTTCCACCCACCCCCCTACGGTGGGTGATGCCTTGTGGTCTTGCCCTGCTCTCAAATCTCGCGCACATGGGCATTTAAACCCCAGTGGGGGCCCGAAGCGCCACACCACGGCCACCACGTGTCCGACACGACTAGAACGCTGTTGTCTCGTCAATTTTTAGAATTACTATAAGACTAAGCCCTCCCTGCTTTTAATGTAGCCACCCAAAAAAAAATGAAGAATCCTTAAATGAGGGCAGCCTTGCGCGCTGGGCTTTTTAAGTGGCCGGTTGGTGAAGAGAGAGGGGGGAGAGATCCAAAGATGGAATGTTTACGAAACTGGATGTTTGCGAGTGGGGGGGTTATTTGCTGCTGCATTAATTCGTAAGTTAATTGTGTACGCGTAACGTTCAATTACAGGGGAGTTGATTAACCGATATAATTGCCTCTTCCGCTTGAATAATACAAGGGTCTTTCTCCCTCCTCCCGATCTATTACCCGTGGTGTGAGTATCGTGGGACACGGTCTACATACGCATGCTTCGGGGACTGGTTACATGGACTGCATTGTTGAAATAAGAGTGGGTGGCTTTAATTTATAGTCATAGTGACGGGTGCTTTGCCATAGTCTTCATAGCAGCCTATATCATAGCGAATTCCACAGCCCGTGTTCGCTGCTGTGTATAACCATACATCTCGCAGCGCTTCTGCATAGCCTGCTTGCAATAGCTCGCCCTAATTTAGGCTTGCGCACAGCATGCACGTCTCTGTAGCACCCACACACACACACAGCAAGCTAGGCTCAATGCAGTACAACCCACGTGGCCAGCACCGCTATTTAGCCGATACACAGCGCAATAGACGTTAGGCTGAACAACAACAACAGCAACAACAGCAGCAGCAGCAACAACAGCAGCAGTCTCGCAGTGTAGGAGGGCAGCTCCCATCGCTGGGTTCTCAATGCGGGAGCGGGGTTTGTGCTGCGAATGGCTGACTTCGCAGAAGCCTTCCGCACTCGAAGCCTCATCAGCAGTCTCATCATCGGCAGCGGCAGCAGCAGCGGCAGCAGCAGCAGCAGGAGAATCGTCGGTCCACCGCCCGTGCCATCTTCCGGAGGGAACCAAGTCGTCGCGATGCCTTGCTTCCCAATCAGCGCCAACAACAACAGCAGCAGCAGCAGCAATGCCGTTGCGTCTGCCTCGACCACCACCACCGCAGCATCAGCATCAGCAGCTGCGGCTGCTGCTTCTTCATCTGCGGCCACAGCCTCCTCCTCCGCCGTCACCCCGGGCGATCTCGGCCTGGGCCACGGGGCCGTGGACTTCCCAGACGATGCGGAGCTTGCAAGCGACCACGACGACGAAGACGACGAAGACGACGAGCTTCCCAATTTCCTCATCACCACCATCCTGGACGTGATGTCCTCCGCCGAGGACGACATTCAATGCAGTCCTCGGCAGCACGATCATCATCATCATCAGCAGCATCATCAGCAGCAGCATCATCATCAGCAGGGTGTTGTTGGTGTTGGTCGTGATGCGTCGTGGGTCGTTGTCGAAGAGCCTCCTCCTCCTCCTGCCCCCCGCTGCAGTTCGTGTGAGTCGGGAGCGAGAGCCGCCTCCGAGTGCCTCGTGTGCCGCGAGTTGCTGTGCAGCGCCTGCGTGTCCGCACACCGGCGGGTCAAGCTCACCAAGGATCACCGCATGCAGCCAGTGCAGCAGCAGCAGCAGCATCAGCAGCAGTTGCAGCAGCAGCATCAGCAGCAGGAGGTGATGATGATGGTGCCGGTTCGAGACGGGGAGCAGACGTACTGCCGACAGCACGAAAGAGAGGTGGGTGGTGTGTGGTTTACATGTGTGTGTGTGTGTGTTTCTACGTGTGTGTCTGTGTTTCTACATGTGTGTGTTTCTACATGTGTGTGTTTCTACATTTGTGTGTGGTCTACATGCGTGTGTGTGTCTGTGTTTCTACATGTGTGTGTGGTCTGCATGCGTGTGTGTGTGTTTCTACATTTGTGTGTGGTCTACATGCGTGTGTGTGTCTGTGTTTCTACATGTGTGTCTGTGTTTCTACATGTGTGTCTGTGTTTCTACATGTGTGTCTGTGTTTCTACATGTGTGTCTGTGTTTCTACATTTGTGTTTGTCTACATGTGTGTGGGTCTACGTGTGTGTGTGGTCTACATGTGTGTGTGTGTGTGTTTCTACATGTGTGTTTGTCTACATGTGTGTGTGGGTCTACATGTGTGTCCTGTGTGTGTTGTGGATAACGTGGTATGCATCGCATATCTCTTCAGAGCCCGCCTGATCGTCTATCGATCATCGTAATCGGAGGTTTATGTGTTATCAATTATCAAGAGGTTTAGCCATCGACCAGAGGTTTTTGTTATCTTTCATCAGACGTTTAGCGTCTTTCGGTCCGATATCATCGAATCATCATCCGAGGTTTATCCATCTATCGATGATGATGAGATATTGATCAATAGTATCGGTTTTCCCGCCAGAGATTCCTACTAATTTTCAGCATCGTTTCATATCTAAATAAACCTCGTCGGAGTGGTATCAGCAGCAATAGCAACATCATCATTTCTACGTCGTTCTAAATAATAAATCATCATCATATCCCTCCCATGGTAGTGATTGATGATCGTAACCATTGGGGCTTGATTGTAATCGAAGTTAAAATTCGCGGGGTCCCCTCAGATCCGTGTCACATTATCGACTTAACTTCCATCGGATTATTTCTCGTGGATGAATCCGATAAGCTATGAAGCTCTTCGCTGGACGATCATCATCCCTTTTACGTGAACAAAGGTCTGATTATGATGATTAAATTAACGTTAGTCCACAATGTGTCATTGACGTTGATGAATTGTGGTTATTGTAGCAATCGGCGTCGTCTGAATGGCCGTAATTATTAGTCGCCAATAAGTTTGGCGTTGAAGATTCGTGAACAATTTGTCATATCGGCAAGATTTGTTTTGATAAATCGTTTAAAATCTCGTGATCTTAATTACGAAACGGGCAAATTGCATTTCGTATCATCGTTTGTGGTCATCTTCGCTTTAATTAAGGTTCATCAGCATTGTTAATTATATATTAATGTCGTGATCCGTCAACTGTCGGTCGAAATAATTAATAACAATTGTGAATCGATGTTGAAGTGTGTAAATAATGTTGCAGTCGATTTGAATGATTGCAATCAATGTTGGTGTATAATGATGGTAATCAATATCACATGAGGTAAATACTGTGTTTATTGGTTGTTATACTGTAATCATTGATTACAACGGTAACGTTGAGTGTATTCAACGTTAGTGTACAATTACTACATATAATCAATGTTTCCGAATGTAAATACCGCATCGTCGATTAAAACAATTGTTTTTAAGTCGTTTCAAAATAATTAGAAGCTAAATTAATCGCGAGTTATATCGTGTTACACGAGTAAATATTGTTCTATAATTAAGATTGTTTCTTAAGATATTACCACCGTGGCAATGGTTAAATATTGCCGCATTTCGATTCGTTTGCAATTTTTGTTCAAGTCTAATCAATTTATTCCTTCCCATCTCTAATCTTCGACCCATAATGCTTATTCTTAACACGATTTGTCTTCATTGGTGATCATCAGCATTGCCTCGGTCATTATACGAGCCACTTCTCAAAGTATCTGTAATAGTTTTTTTGTAATGTTCATATCGGGCCCATCGTGTTTTAATTCGAATAATTATAATTGCCTTAATATAATTTAAGTATTGTTTGACTACAATGGAATTAATCGTCACCCACTAACCTGCTAATGATTATCATCGCAAATTCTTATCACTCCTGCCTCTTAACATTGCCTATATTTCCAGGCACTATAAATTAAATATATATCGAGTATATAACGGAATAGTTCTAATCGTGAACATAACTTGGGTTATAGCCATGTCCCCATCACTGTGGCCATATAACAATTGTTGTTATTCATAATAGAGTTGTTTTTTTGGGTTGACAACATTGAAAACCAACATCATCATCACCATCATTTCCTTCAACATCATCATCTACATCACCATCATCAACATCACCATAATTTACATAATCTAATCTTGATTTTGAAGTAGTTTTCTCTGCTGTGGTTGTTCCGCCACCTGATGATCGAAACGTCGTGAGAATTTTTAATTGTTTAATATTTGTATTATTTTGTTATTTCCCTTCTACGTGACTTTACCGAAAGAACCAAGAATATGAATCCATGCAGTCACGAAAGCTTTAATTCAAAAGTATTTACATAATCTACATAATTTTGATCTAAAACCACAAATACATCATCATCTACATCACCGCCATCATCATCATCCACAAAACCATTCATTTGAAACATCACGGTTGTGTTGATGAAACAGTTTTGCAAATACGAGACCGTTGATCTAATTGTGGTTAAAATAACTGAGTGTGAATTGACTACATTCGTGAGGTTATATGAAGTGTTTATTCTAATAATAGTTTATGACCTGTCATCGTTGAGCGGCGGTCTTTGTTGATGATTTAAGACCAGAAACCATTGCATACAAATCTACGAGAAATATTGGTTAATTATATATCCATTAATCATATGGTTACTAATTAGTTTATGTAGGCGTTAGGTGGCGTAGCTTATAACTAAAATAAACGTGGACATTGTACGGTAATTCACCCTGCACTACCCTACCAACAACCACAGCTAAAGTTGTTAAATTTAATATAAAAATCCCAGCTTAACTCTTATCACAAACTGTTTGCGTGTCTTGAAATATGTTTAACCGGACCTTTCAATCGCATTCTTTTATTAACAGCGCGCCGTCGTATGTGAATGACATTGTATCACTCTAGTTAAAATGCCACTTGTGATCCTAACACTATCGTCGTGTTAACAAAATATACAAATTAATGGCCAACTAATAATGTTCATATGGATGCAACGGCGACACCGGCTTATAACGCAAATTGAGAAACTAAGTATCTAGGCTTTGTGTTGTTGTTGTTGTTGTGTGTTCGTCCACTGTTCTATTTGAAACTAGGCCTCGGCAAGGTAAGGTAAATTACCCTTTTTAGCGGGTAAAGGTGTCGACATGCCAAGGGGTAAGGTAAGGGGTACAGGGTAAAGGTAGCTAGGAAGAATTACCCGGTAGGGTAAATATAGCGCGAAATATTACCCGGTAAATACGGTGCCTTGTTTATTGCTAGAATCTCCGTGGCGCAGTCCGTGGCCTCAATTTAATAAGTAATATAAAAAAAACGTTTTTAAAAACACGCTTTTATTAAATGTACTCGTAATGACAGAACTCCACGACTCCAGGAAGTGGCCCCGAAGCTTGCCACAACGTAAGGGAGCGTGGTGATTTAGAGCCAACGTCAGTTGAGCGTGGACAATTAGAGCCAAGCCGAAACATAACGTATACTAAAGATCGTTTAAAAATATGTATTTTTTAGTGATATAATATAGTATTGTCACCATTTTGACATACGTATACCAAGTCTGCAGTCGATACCACATTAGAAAGTGGGTTAAAATTGAGTTACAAGATTTGAGGATACGACAACGACGACAACAACAATGACAACAACAACAACAGAGTGAGTTCAATGAAAGCGTGTAAAATTGGAATCATCGAGAGTATTCTATATGAATAAAGCGCTCTACCCAGCATTTACCTGTTATAAACCTTGTTCATGTGTAGTAAGACCCCAGTATTTACCCTGTAATCGGGTAAATTGTATGGAGTGAGGGTAAAGGTAGGTTCGTTGCTTTTTACCTTACCTGCTAAAGGGTTAAAGGTAAGGGTAGAGTGATTGTATTGTGGTAAGATAAAAGGTAGGGTAAGGGTAGGCTCGTTGTTTTTAACTTTGACCTTGTTTTGCCGAGGCCTATTTGAAACAAAAAAGTCCTTTTTAAAATAATAATAATAAAGTTATATCAGGTACTAGGGCTCACCTTACGTGACCCCCTCTACTCTGGAAGTAGCAACGGTTTTTTGAGGTCTCGCGAACGGTCGCCGCAATATAATTTATAATTTAATGCGTCGTACGCGTAATGCTCTAACTTTGTGTGTGTGCAGCCGTTTGCTCGTACACCCCCCAACGCGTCTTAAGATTGTTCCGTAATGTTGACGATCTCAAATGAACCCTAAAAGCGACACGTACAGGAAAGGGCACGCGTTTAACGCGTCAAATAATGCCAGTTGGACACGTGTGGGGAGGCTTTCGCGACCAATATAATCCATAATAGAGGTGGTTTTTTAGGGTGAGATCGCGTAATTGTATAAAGTGTCTGTAAAACCCGCCACCACCCGACACGGCCAACTAGTAAGGATTGCCACGTAAACTGAACGTGGCCAATTCGTCACGAGTACAGCACTAGTGTGTAGTGTATAGTATAGTGGTGTATAGTAGTGTAGTGTATAGTGAAGTGTATAGTGTCGTGTATAGTAGTGTAGTGTATATTTTAGTGTATAGTAGTGCAGTGTATAGTGTAGTGCATAGTGTATAGGGTAGTGTGTAGTGTAGTGTATAGTGTAGTGTATAGTAGTGTGGTGTATAGTAGTGTATAGTGTAGTATATAGTAGTGTCGTGTGTAGTGTATAGTGTAGTGTATGGTAGTGTAGTGTATGGTAGTGTAGTGTGTAGTGTAGTGTATAGTAGTGTATAGTGTAGTATTCTAGTACAGCAACACCGGTGTGTTGCAGAGCAAATCCACAACATTTACAATCCGAGTCCGACGTTTCGCCAGCAATTACAACAGCCATCATCAGGCGATAGTATATTATTAGTACAGTACACCGGTTGTGTGTTGGAGAGCCAAGCCACAACATTTACAATCCCATCACGACGTTTCTAAAGCTAACCCCCAATCCCAAAAAAAACTATTATCAAATAATGACGCTTAAACGTCTATTTATATTATAGGCGACGTTGCAGGCAATGGTCCTTGTTCATAGCCGATTTAGATGTGCTGCTAAATATTTGGGGGTGGGGGAGGGTCATTGCCCGAAACGTCGCCACTCTGGGTTATTATCGAAGGTTCGTTTTACTGGTGGTGCTCTGTTCACCACTGCCAGGCAGCAGTGTAGCAAGCAAGGCCGTAATTATATAATAAATATTAATTATATAATACATATTGGGGGGACACACACATCAAATATGCTAAAATATATCCCCCCCCCCCAATATATTGCTATAAAATAGATTTCTGTTTATATGATTGTGGTTATGGTTGTACTTTAATAATCCCTAATCTCTGCCATACAATGAAACAAGAAAAGGTAAAAAAGAAAAAACACTAATGTAATACAATACACTATTAGACATTGTAAAAAAGAAAAAAAAAGTCTATCCTATGTGTTAAAAAATTTTTATTTTAGGCAGGAAATTCTTTTCTAATTTCGATTTTTTTTTCTGGGGGGGGGGGGGACCCCAGACCCCCTAAAAGATTTGGTCCCCCCCCCAATGTTGACTCCATGGCTACGGCCTTGGTAGCAAGCATCGCCACCACAACCTGCAAACTTGCTTACATTATTATCCGTTCCAAAGGTTATTGATAATGCACGCAGATGAATTGCTTCATCGGTAAAAAAAATATTCTGTTTATTTGGACTTTTAATAATATCTTGCGCGATCCAATGACCACTCAAGCTGTTAAATTCATCGGGTGTGTCTCAGACATTAATACACATTAACTTTTAACATTGACGGTTTTGCATAATAGATTAAGAACGCGTTAAACATTACATAACAGTATCTTATAAATATTTTTGGTTCTTTCGGTAAAGTCACTTAGAAGGGAAATAATAAAATAATACAAATATCTTATAAGTACATTCCATAATATTAAATCATATCGTTCAATATCTTCATACTGGCGTAAGGATTCCGCGCTGTAGCTCACGTTTCCATTAAATCAATGTTAGATGTTCTACAAATGTACTAGAATAGCGGGGTTAATTTAATTCATTTTGAAAGGATCTACGTGTACAATAATGAGAAGAGCCAGCCACCTTGGTCAATCCACTGCTGGATTAGGATGTGGCTTTGACCATACTTCACCGCCCCAGTCAGTGCCCGAGGTGGTGGTGTAGCGAGCAGACTAAGTTGGTTGTCCAAAACCGGTTTCGAGGTTAGGATCATTCCCGATTTTTTTTTTTTAGCCGTGGCCCGGAATCTGTCACGGGTCATTTGCCGGCCTCCCTAACACAGCAAAGTGTAATCTTAATTAGTTTACTCTCTACGTAAATTACAACGTAACCCTTACCCCTAATGTGGAAAAACTAAACACGAATGCACAAGTTTGTGAGCGAGGGAATACAGAAAGGGAAATGCGTTAACTAACAAAACGATACGTGGGATCGTCCTGTTTCCCGGCCTGTTAACATGGATAGGAGTGACTTTCACTCCCCCTCCCTCCTAACACCAATCACTCGCCACTCCGGTCTCGTTTAAACACTGGGCTCACGACAGAGCTCTAGGAAAATGAAAGATTTAATTTGCACAAATGGTTGATGGTGAATTGGTGATTGAATTCGTCTACTTGCGTCTTGGCATCACAATGATGTACACGTGTGAGCGCTGCATGTTATCATCAGCCGAGTTCATCCCTAAGTGGCTATCTCTCGCTCTCTCCATGTGAGCCACATCCTTTCATAAAAGGAGGAGTCTGTGATCGTGGCCTTTTCATTCAGCTCAGTCCAAGATAATTTACTCAACTGGGTCGGTGTTTAATCTGTGAGCAATGTTAGTCAATGGCCAGTGTTAGTCTTATGGCCAGTGTTATTTTATGGGCAGTGTTAGTCTCTCTCTCTGTGAGACCGTGTCCTTTCTCGGAGACGTCGGCGATTGTGGACTTGCGTCCATATAGGAGGACAAAGAAAAACACGCTTGTGTTGGTAAGCGCGGACGGATGCAAAGTTTCCTCCGTCACCGTTCGGCTGATGAGGTCTGCTCCACCGACACCGCCCCCCCCCCCCATTCGTTGATCGCGACGCAGTCGGCCCCCCACCAACGGTGAAGATCGATCGACCCTCGAGGGTTTGTGCCAGAGGTCGCAAACGGGTTTTGATTCCTTACCCGTACCCGGCCGCACCAGGGTCGAAAACGGGTACCCGTACCCTACCCGATACCCGGCCACCCGTACCCGGCCGGGTATCGGGTACCCGATTGCGACCTCTGGGATGAATCCATGTTGCAGGCGCAGGTGGGTTGATTCTCAGAACTTGAATTGTGAGAAGAGACAAGACGTTGGGAAATGAGTGACAAACGGTTACTCGCCAGTAACTCACGGCCTACCCGTACCCAGCCGCACCAGGGTCGCAAACGGGTACCCTACCCGTACCCGGCGGGGTACGGGTAGCCGGGTATCGGGTAGGCTACGGGTATCGGGTACCCGGTTGCGACCTCTGGTTTGTGCGTGCCGTGGAACCGGTTCGAGAGCCTAGACCACCAGCTCGTAACGGAGCGCACGAGAGCTTTGTGTGTATGTTGAACTTATTTCACACCCTACGTAGCCGGACCGTGCTAATGTAGCCAAGTAATCGGAGGTTCGGGGGAAGGACAACAAACTAAACTAACAAAAAAGCAGCTCTAAAGAAATGAGTATCAATCTAGATGATGATTTAAAAGTGCATAGCTCCAGTGGCTTGCCTAATATCGTAAGGAAGAGCGTTCCAGACGGCCACGGACGCGCATCCGAAAGCGCCGCGCGCCGATGCGGCGACCATCTTTGTTCAATGGCTTGCACGTATCTATGTTGAACTTCTTTCGCACCGTACATGGCCAACCGTTCTAATCGGAGGTGCTTGCTTGTGCGTGTGCGTGCGTGCGCTGGCCGGCTTCGCAGGTGGCGCGCCTTTTCTGCGACACGTGCGCCGTGCCCATCTGCCGTGGCTGCACGCTGGCGTGGCACGCCGGCCACAGCTTCGTGTACCTGCAGGACGCGCTGCAGGGATCGCGCGGCGCCGCCTTGCAGCTGCTGGCAGAGGCTCGTCAGGAGCGCCTCACTCTGCAGGTGCGGCCCCGCTGGGGGGGTGGGGAGGGGGAGGGGAGACGCGAGGAGGCGTTCAAGCGGGAGTGTCTCCGTGCGCGTGCGGCCTGCGACGGTGCAGGGGATACGGGCGGAAGCGCTGAGATGTCTTCCCCCCCCCCTCCCTCCGCTACCACCACCCCGTTACTCTCATCGTCCCTTTTTTTATTTAAGCCCAGGGTCTCGGCAGTCCGCGCACGGCCGCCACGCATACGGTGTTTACGAGACGCCGAAAAAAATAATTTGGGTGGAAGAACAGCGGTTGCTTAATTCTACGCGCGAGAAAATGGGCAGCGCGATTGCGCGTGACGTCACCTGCTGTGTGCGTGCGCGTGTGTGATTGCATGTGCGTTCGGCGCGGTGTCGGAGTGCGGTGCGCGAACCACCACTCTATTACCGTGTGTGGGTGCGATCGAGCATCGGTTAGCGCACCGCGCCACCAACCCGGCGACTCCGAGTACGATTCCCGCTCACGGCCAACGTCGGTGACGGTTTTCTGAACCGGTCCTGGGCCAGGCTCCTGGTGCGTAGTGTAAATGTCAGCGCACTAAAGGTGGCCTGGCGTTGTGCTGGCCACCCGCGCCACCTTGGCGTGGCGTGCAGGCCTTCCCAGCTGCTCGCTTAACAGCACTTGCCCCGAACAGTTGGCATAGGCTCGGGGGGGGGGGGGGGGGGTGGAGGTATCTTTGTCTTGGTGTCTGCCATTGGTGACGGCTGCGGTTTGTGCGTGCGCGCGAGGGCAGATCAGCATCGAGCGGGTGCAGGCGATGGTGAAGAGGGTGGACGCCAGGATGGAGAACATCCGCTCGGAGGTGCGGGCCGTGGCCGAGCGGCACAAGAAAGCGCTGGAGGAACGCGAAGGGGAACTCCTCTACAAGGTGACGCGTGCGATGCCCCCCCCCCCCCCCCACTGCACTCCCCTCCAGAGCAGGGGTCGGCAACCTGCGGCTCCAGAGCCGCATGCGGCTGATTGGCTGCTCCCATGCGGCTCTTTGGCTGCCCCCTTGCGGCTGATTGGCTGCCCCCCCTTGTGGCTCTTTGGCTGCCCCCCCTTGTGGCTCTTTGGCTGCCCCCCCTTGAGACTCTTTGGCTGCCCCCTTGCGGCTGATTGGCTGCCCCCTTGCGGCTCTTTGGCTGCCCCCTTGTGACTCTTTGGCTGCCCCCTTGTGACTCTTTGGCTGCCCCGTTGCGGCTCATTGGCTGCCCCCTTGTGACTTTTTGACTGCCCCCTTGCGGCTCATTGGCTGCCCCCTTGCGGCTCTTTGGCTGCCCCCTTGCGACTCTTTGGCTGCCCCGTTGCGGCTCATTGGCTGCCCCCTTGAGACTCTCTGGCTGCCCCCTTGTGGCTCTTTGGCTGCCCCCTTGTGACTCTTTGGCTGCCCCCTTGTGACTCTTTGGCTGCCCCCTTGTGACTCTTTGGCTGCCCCCTTGAGACTCTCTGGCTGCCCCCTTGCGGCTCATTGGCTGCCCCCTTGAGACTCTTTGGCTGCCCCCTTGAGACTCTTTGGCTGTCCCCTTGTGACTCTTTGACTGCCCCCTTGTGACTCTTTGGCTGCCCCCTTGCGGCTCTTTGGCTGCCCCCTTGTGACTCTCTGGCTGCCCCCTTGCGGGCAGCCGTGTAACAATAAAAGCCCGTACATTTTTGCGTAAAGATAAACTATGGCAGGGGATGGGGTAACTGGAATGTCTTGGTGACTACAAAATGTACAACAGTCAAACCGCATTGTTTATATATAGACGAGCTTTACTACCCGGCTTCGCCCGAGACTTGGATTCTTGTCTTGGATTAGTACACGGCCTACGCGGATGCTTGGAGGGAGGGGGCTGCGTGACGTCAGCAGGCACACTGCGTGACGTCAGCAGGCACACTGCGTGACGCTGCCGCATGCGGGTGACATCACAGACGCGACGTCACCGCCCACTTGCCGTGCAAAATATCTCCATTATTGCGCCCCCCCAAAATACAAAAGTATTTTTATACTTCGTGCATTGTGTACAGTCTGGAAGCTGCCCACATGCCAAATTTCAAGTTTGTTGCATGTTGTTAAGTATGCTAAACATTTCGAACAGACACACGTATTCACAAATTTCCGTTTTATATATCAATATAGACTAAGTGGGGGGGGGGGGGGGTGAAACGAAATGAACACAGTTTATTCCATCACCTGTTTGTGTTTATTTAAGTCGGAACGTGTGCTATCGCCTGCTGTATACAACCCACTGCTGTGTTTGTGTGTAAGTCGCTCTGCGCGTAGTGCGGCTTGCGAACTATAATGGCCAAAGACAAAAAAATGAAATGGCTCTGCTTCTTTGAACGTTTTCCAACCCCTTCTAGACCCATCCTTGGCGATGCTCTGTACGTAGCCAACCACAATCATCGTAGGCACGGCGGGGACGACAACAAACTTAAGCACAAAACGCAGTTCAACAGAAATTAGTTTTCATCTTGAGTTGTTTGCTAACTACTAATAATCTCTCCTCTCTCAGGGTCCTCACTTGGCTGGGGCAGCGGGCCCTAATTTCCCCCCACCCCCCACCTACGTACGATCTCACTGCACCGAATTGGAATTTTCGCAGTTTTTCTGTCCCCTCCAAACGTTGGTCGGCGTATTGGTACCGGGCTCGCGTTTTGTCCCAATAAAAACTCAAAATAACGCAAAGCGTTCCCAAATAGATACAAATTTATTTGTGCTCGTCGTTACAAATAACAATTCAGTTTGACACGTAGGCTTTCGGGAGTAAGAGCAGAGCCTCACCATTCTGGCGAATTGCCCGATTTGATGCTGGATGCAATGACCAGCGAAACGTCGTACTACTCATAAATGTAAATGTTGTGGTTTCACGCTTCAACACACCGGTGGGCTAAAGCAGTGAACTAATTTGTCTTGTCAACGTGACACTTTTTTGCCGATTGGCCGTGTCGGTGTGGTGGAGGGTTACGACACATTTCTAAATAACACCATCTAACCACAAAAACTTTACATTTCGATTTAAAGCTTTCGTGACTGCAGGGATTCATCTTCTTGGTTCTTTCGGTAAAGTCACGTAAAAGGGAAGTAATAAAATAATAAAAATAAAACATAATAAAATTAAATAATTCTCACGACGTTTCGAAGACGGCTGCTTGCGTTGTGGCCGAAACGTTGTGAGAATTATTTTATTTTATTATGTTTTATTTTTATTATTTTGTTACTTCCCTTCGACGTGACTTTACCGAAAGAACCAAGAACACAAACTTTACTACGAATTATAAATAACAAATCGTAATCTCCTCTCTCGTTCTCTCTCCTGGCGCCGTCTCATCTCCGTGGCGACGCCGCAGGTGGAGAAGGTCCACGTGGCCAAGCTCGGCGTGCTGGACCGGCAGGCCGAGGAGCTGCGGCAGAGCCTGGCTCGCCTGGACGGCACGCTGCTCTGCGTGCAGCGCTCGCTGGAGCAGGGCCGCGAGCTGGACGCGCTGAAGGCGCGCGAGCTGGTGCTGGCGCGCGTCCGCGAGCTGCAGGACATGAAGCGCGCCGGGGCGCTGGCGCCGCGCGAGGACGACCGCGTCATCTTCACGCCACCCGACGGGGCGCTGTGCGCGGCCCTACGGTGAGATATCGCCACGGCAACAGCCACGGCAATCGCCACGGCAACAGCCACGGCAACAGCCACGGCAACAGCCACGGCAACAGCCACGGCAACAGCCACGGCAACAGCCACGGCAACAGCCACGGCAACCGCCACGGCAACCGCCACGGCAATCGCGACGGCAACTGCCACGGCAATCGCCACGGCAATCGCGACGGCAACTGCCACGGCAATCGCGACGGCAACTGCCACGGCAATCGCGACGGCAACCGCCACGGCAATCGCGATGGCAATCGCGACGGCAACCGCCACGGCAATCGCGACGGCAACTGCCACGGCAATCGCGACGGCTGGAGGAGTTCCCGTAACGCGGGAGGGATGGCGCAAGGCGGCTATCCCTCTGGGGTTGTCCGCACTGGCGATGTTGACTTACCTCGCCTGGTATGAAGGAGGTCGTGAGTTAAATCCCGACTCTGACGCCTGCTGTGTATATATGGAGTTGAAATGTCTCCCTCTCTTTCACCATGGCCGCGTGGAATTTATTTTTCTCCGGGTCCGCTGGTTTTCCCCCTCCGCATTTCGAATTGAGGTGCGAGTATTCGGTTGCCGTAAATTTCCACGTGATGATCGGCTCGGTGAGGCCTTACCCTGGTAAAAAACACAAATAGTTTAGTTGTCTCTTGGGCTCCACCCAAGTTCGCCGTGCCGAACCCGAGCATCCAAACGTCGGCACTGGGAGAGACAAACGCGGTCAGGCCAGGCGTGGTCTTCCTCTTTTTGGCCATCCCCCCCCCGTCCCCACCACCACACACTTCACTTTCATCGGTGATCGACAACGGCGCTCGCCCCCAAACGGCCTGGCAGAAAGGCCAACCGAGTTCGATTCCCGCTTACGGCCAACGCCAGGTAACGGATAATTATCTGAACCGGTCCTGGGCCCTCCTCCCCTAGGCCGACTCTACGACGAGTAAAGTTTAATTATTTTTCTTGGTTCTTTCGGTAAAGTCACGTAGAAGGGAAGTAATAAAATAATAAAAATAAAACATAATAACAGGACCTGTTCTTCACCTGAGGACGGCTGCTCGCGTTGTGGCCGAAACGTCGTGAGAATTATTAATTTTTTTATTTTTATTATTTTATTATTTCCCTTCTACGTGACTTTACCGAAAGAACCAAGAAGATGAATCCCTGCAGTCACGAAAGCTTTAAATCGAAAGATAATTATTTTATAATGTTTTATTATTTTATTACTTCCCTTCTACGTGACTTTACCGAAAGAACCAAGAAGATGAATCCCTGCAGTCACGAAAGCTTTAAATCGAAAAAAAAAGTTTAATTAGTTAGAATTTGTAATGCGCAATCCATCCTAGGATCGCCGTCGGGAGAGACAAAGGCGGCCGAGCGTGGCTTGGGCCACCACCCCCTTTCCATGCGCGCAGTTCCGACCTTAGAAACGTCGCTGCTCGCTTTTACGGCACTTGCCCGCGGGGCGGAGTTAGTGGAACCCTTTGCCTGCGTGCGTGCGTGTGTGCCTGCGTGTGTGCCTGCGTGTGTGCCTGCGTGTGTGCCTGCGTGTGTGCCTGCGTGTGTGCCTGCGTGTGTGCCTGCGTGTGTGCCTGCGTGCGTGCCTGCGTGCGTGCCTGCGTGCGTGCGTGCGTGCCTGCGTGCGTGCCTGCGTGCGTGCGTGCCTGCGTGCGTGCGTGCGTGCGTGCGTGCGTGCGTGCGTGCGTGCGTGCCTGCGTGCGTGCGTGCCTGCGTGCGTGCCTGCGTGCGTGCCTGCGTGCGTGCCTGCGTGCGTGCCTGCGTGCGTGCCTGCGTGCGTGCCTGCGTGCGTGCCTGCGTGCGTGCGTGCCTGCGTGTGTGCCTGCGTGTGTGCCTGCGTGCGTGCGAGCAGTGCTCTGGGCAGCGTGAGCAGCGGGGCGTGCGCGCTGCTCTCCACGGCGGTGGGCGAGGGGCTGCAGCGAGCCGTGCGGGGCCGCGTCGCCACCTTCGCCGTGGCGCTGCAGGATCACGGCGGGGACCCCTGCTGCGGGGGAGGGGAGACCCTCGCCGTCGCCGTCACCGCGCCCGACGGGAGCCCCTGCTGGACCGAGGTGGGTGGGTGGTGGGGGGTGGTGGTGGGGGGGGGTGGTGGGTGGGTTGTGGTGGGGGGCATGGGTGGGAGGAGCGCCCTTCGCCACCCCGCCCCACCCCCCGTGCCCACTATCTGAGGTGCTGTTGTAGTAATAGGTTTTTACCCTTTAAACTGGTACAAAACTGACACCTTTATACAAGGCATCATGTTTGCAATAACCGCAACACAAGCGGTCAAAATGCAAACAAAAAGAAACAACTCTGATAATGGTAATGATATAATATATCAGAGTTGTTTCTTTTTGTTTGCATTTTGACTGCTTGTGTTGCGGTTATTGCAAACATGATGCCTTGTATAAAGGTGTCAGTTTTGTACCAGTTTAAGGGGTAAAAACCTATCACTATATTTTGCCACTGGTAAACGAGGTCTCATAGTGTGGTGCTGTTGTCGCACCCGGTATGCAGGAGGTCGTGGTTTCAACCCTGACACCTGCTGTATAAGTTAAATCTCTGTGCTTAACCTGCCCGCCCGCCCTCCTCGCAGGTGGTGGAGCTGCAGGACGGCACGTTCCGTGTGCGCTACCGCTCAGACCAGGACAAGGAGCACCGCGTGAGCGTCACCGTGGCCGCCGCCTCCTCCTCCTCGGCCACCGCGACCCCCGGCGGCGCCGGCCCCGTGCCCCGCCGCCACCTTCCCGGCTCCCCCTTCACCGTGCCGCTGCGCGCGGGCCGCAGCTACGCCGGCGTCGGCATCCCCCTCCGCTGCTTCGGCGGCGAGGGCGACGCGGACGGGCGGCTGTGCCGGCCCTGGGGCGTGAGCGTGGACCGCGAGGGCCGCTTCGTCGTCGCCGACCGCAGCAACAATCGCGTGCAGGTGTTCGGCCCCGCCGGGCAGTTCCTCTTCCGCTTCGGCGCGCCCGGGGCGCGTCCCGGCCAGTTCGACCGCCCCGCCGGCGTGGCCTGCGACGACCGCCGCGACCGCATCGTCGTCGCCGACAAGGACAACCATCGGGTGCAGGTGTTCAGCTCGCGCGGCCGCTTCCTGCTGGCGATCGGCGAGCGCGGCCACCTGAACGGCCAGTTCTGCTACCCGTGGGATGTCGCGGTGAGCCCCGAGTCGGCCGGCGGCGGCCTCATCCTCGTGTCGGACACGCGCAACCACCGGGTGCAGCTCTTCTCTCCCGACGGCACCTTCGTCAACAAGTACGGCCTGGAGGGCGGCCTGTGGCGGCACTTCGACTCGCCGCGCGGCGTCGCCTTCATGCCCGACGGCCACCTCCTCGTCACCGACTTCAACAACCAGCGGCTGCTCGTGGTGCGGCCCGACTGCGGCTCGGCGCGTTTCCTCGGCTCGGAAGGCTCGGCCCCCGGCCAGTTCCTGCGGCCGCAGGGCGTGGCCGTGGACGCCGAGGGCCGCGTGATCGTGGCCGACTCGCGCAACCACCGCGTGCAGATCTTCGAGCCGGACGGCAGCTTCCTGTGCCAGTTCGGCGGGCCCGGCAGCGGCCTCGGCCAGATGGACCGGCCGTCGGGCATCGCGGTCACGCCCGACGGTCTCATCGCCGTCGTCGACTTCGGGAACAACCGCGTGCTGGTGTTCTAGCTCGCCGTTGGCGCGCGGCTCCCGGTTCTGGTAACAAAACCCCCGAATCGGCGCTCGCCACGTGACGGCTCGGCTGGGGGGGGCCGTGTCGCCCGGTTTGTCCCCACGCGAGAGTTGGTCCCTTCTCCGTAGCTCCGTTTTTAACGGTGACGTCGAAGTAACGTCGAGAGAACGAAAAAAATTTCTTTCGACCGTCGCTCCCAACGGTTTCGTTTCACCGTCGGTTCGTGGCGTGCCCGGGGCTCCTTCACCCCCTAAAGCTGCCTTACCATCCGCGTCGTCCGTCTTAACAAAACAACAACGCCTGTCTGTCCGTCCGTCCGTCCGTCCGTCTTTTACCAACCGTTGTACACGCGACGCTCCTGCTTTTCCACACCCCCCCCCCCTGGAATTTTCCGAAAGACTTTTTGTCTTGGGCAGCATCGGTGGCGGCGTCAGTCGCGGCGATCTTCACGGTGAGAGGGTGAAAGCAGCACGCCCGGAGCCTAGTGGCCCCAAGCAGCCGCGGAACGAGCGTCGGTATTGCGTTTACCCGCCCTTCCCACCCGTGTCCTCTGCGAGCGGCGCACACCAAATCCAGCGCTGATCGTCGCTGCAGAGCGAGTTGACGGCACCGTTACCCAACAGGGCTGTCTCGCCCGTTACCGCACGTTCCTCAGGGATTCCGTTAGTGGAAGGGGGGGTGGGGGGTGGCTTGGAGAGAGCGGGGGTCAGGGTTGTTTATAATAATTAGCAATGTTTAGCGTTTGTTATTGCCCCCCTCCACCGGTGAACTCTCGCGCAATGCAATAAGCGTCGATGGCGCGCTACTGGGTTCAACTTTAAACCGCTCGACGGGTTTGTACGGCGGCCGCCAATATTTTTCCGCGCACGCGCATCGTGCCGCGTTCGCCTGTGGACGCCAAAGCGAGCGAGGGAATGCGCGTGTGCGTGACGGGCGCCGGTGCGTCCTCCCGATGGCATACCTCTGCGTGACGACGTCGCTGTCGTCACGTGCTTCCAAAAAACCCACGAAAGACCTCCTGCATGCCAGGCGAGGAAGTTAACATCTCGCGACCGTGGCGCCCCAGATGGCGGTCACGGGTGTAGGGTGGGCGTGGGGAGGCCTTCCCCACCCCCCCCCCCCTCACCGGCATAACGAGTTCTGATCCCTTCACACGATTCCTCTCTCTCCGTCCATGTCCTCCGTCGATTCCCCCGTCGGGTGACGGAGAGTTGTGCCCCGGGGAGGTTGCGGCCGAGTTTTCCAGCGTCCGCTCCCAGCAGCGTGTTGACGGGGGCTGGCGCCCAAGAACCCGCCGCCCGACTCTAATAAAGCGTTTGCAGCGCTGAACGCGCTCGCTCACTTGCCAGTTGGAGGCGTCCGATTTTGAGCTCCCGTCGGCTTCGCGGCAGTGCCGGGCGGATGAATAGACGCGGTTGTCCTTTTCCCCGCCGTAAAACATAAATTAGCTTTTGGTCGTTAAGCCTCCGGGCCTTCTGGTGGAGCAGTGCTCACCCCCCCCCCCACCCCACCGCCCGCGTAAACGACCAGGCACACCCTCGCGGCAGCGTCGTTGAACGGGGGCCGTACCCTGCCGGTGAGACTCATAAAATGTAATGCGACGCTCCTTTTGCCCGAAAATAAGCAAATTGCTGAGCCTGCGTGGCCGGGTGCGCCGTCCGGCGTGTTCGTTACCCACAATCCCTCCGCGTGTCCGGCGTCAACGTTGACGACGTCCACTTTAAATGCCGGCTCCCTCTCGCGAGCGCGCGAGGAGGCACCGTGGCCATTGTACAGCCCCCCCCGCTGGGGGTGCCGTTCCCGTTGGGGGTGGGGGGGGTTCCTTGCGTGACCGGCAAAGCGCGGACGAGTGTCGCAATTGTTCTCCGTCCTTGGACTTAGGATGGTGTAAGCACTTTGGCAGCGGCGTGTTTGGTGGAACTGGCGCGCGGTCCTTAACTGAAGGCGGGGGGAGGGACGTGGATTTTGTTCGAGGGATCGAGAGAATCTCTCGCTTTTGCTCGCTTACATTTTATAAACTGGAGACGTTAGACATTTCACGAGATAAAGCCAAAGAACAAAGCGGACAAAACGCGTTTTTATTGCTGCCCCTTGTTATTGTCGCCAATGTAGACGTTGAAGGTGGGGTGAGGCACAGGGAGACCCCACCCCCCCCCCAACACGCGAGAGGGTTGAGAGAGCTGTGTATGTTGTGTGTGACGCTCTGTGTGTGTGTGTGTGTTGCGTGGCGCTCTGTGTGGCTCATGTTGGCGTCTGGGGGGACGAGACGGCATGTGGGGGACGGGGGGCGGGGACGGTCTCCTTTCGGATCTTAAGAAATTCGATTTGTCGGTTGCGTACCGGACATCCTTGAGCACAGCTGGGTGGTCGAAATTTTGTCACTCGCCGGTATCGAACTGCAGCAGCATCTCAGGGAAGTGCCGTGCGTCGCCGCATTGACGGACTGCGGCGCCGGCGGCGGCGGCGGAGGTGCCAGCGGTGCCCTCTTTCCCGTTCCCTTCCTCCTCCGCGGCTACAAGCTGGGGGGGGGGGGGGCGGGGGAACGGGCGGCACCTTCTCGTTGGTTTACAGCTCGCCCACGTGGCCGTCGCCGGCGGCGGTCTCACGCCATTGGCTGCTTGGCCACATGGCGCCACGGCCATAGGTAAGGGGGGGGGGGGGCAGTTTTGGAACCGCCCCCCCCCCCCCCCCCCCCCGTATTCTCACTGCGCGATCTGCAATTTGCTTTTCCAGGGCATCTGAGTGCGGTTATTTTACTGTAATTCCAAAAGGCATTATTACCTCTCTCTACCTCACTTGTTGTTCATGTTTTTATTATAGTAATTTTTAAGCGCAATTGTAATTGTTTTTAACAAATACCTCACCGTTTCGTTGTATAAATATGAAATCCCCCTCTCCTCGTCACCCCCCCACCCCGACCCCACAAAAATAGGTTTGACCTTGTGGAATAATATTTAGACATAAGTCGCGCTCGCGCGTGTAGATTTCTCGTCGCGGTTAACCGTCGTCGTCGTTGTCGTCGTCGTTATTTGTTGCCGTCGCTGCCAAACTTTTCCCCGAGGGGCAGCGCAAACTTCCGCAGTGAATGAATGTAGCGTGTCGCGGTGTGGACAAAATATGCAATGAGGAGGAGGAGGATGAGGAGGGATGGGACTTGAGTTCTCTCTCGTGTCGTCGTGCTTCCACAGCCACAGACGCTGCCAAGATGCAGCCGCGAGTCGCGTCGGACGTCCACCTGCGTCGCCCCCACTGTTATTTGGCCGAGCGTTGCCGGAATCGCAATTTGAGTTTGTCGCCGTTGGTGTGACGAGCGGGGTTCGGGGGCCTAGCCACCCAGCTCGCGTTGTTCACCGTGTGCGCGGCCCCGTCCCGGTCAATTCACCCCAACTAGGCCGGAGGTCGGCGAGAAAGCACAAAGTGGGGGGGGGGTCGCATCTTGAGTAGCGGGCACGCGTCCGGCTGATGTGATCGATTCAACCCGTGTGACCCCTTGGGGCTCCGTCGGTGTTTACCCACGCAGTGTGACCTCGCGCACGCGCTCTCGTATTGGGTGGGGTAGCCATCTTCTTAGGTTTTTTCGGTAAAGTCACGTAGGTAAAATTTTTTAATTAATAAAAGTAAAATAAAAATCACGGCGTTTCGGAGGCAACACAAGCTTCCGTCTTCAGGTGCTGTGACGGTTCCACCTGAAGACGGAAGCTTGTGTTGCCTCCGAAACGTCGTGATTTTTATTTTATTGTTATTAATTTTAACTTTTTTACCTACGTGACTTTACCTAAAAAACCTAAGAATATGAATCCTTGCAGTCACGAAAGCTTCAAATCTAGAATGGGGGGTAGCCATCGTTCACGACTCGGCTGTGGCTCGATCTCCCGGCTGTGGGCTCGCGACTCGGGCTGTGACTCGCGGTCACGTAGGCGGCGACGTGGCATCTGCACGAGGTGGACAGGGCGTAGTGGGGAGCGTGCATCGAGTGCGGCGAGAACGAATCTAAATCTGCTCGGGCAGGAAAACGGCGGCGTCGGCTCGTGCTTCCTGCCGGCGAGTTCAAGTCGGCGGCTTTATTTCCACGGCCGATACGTTTTAAAAAAAACTACAAAAATGTTGATGAAATTGCCAAAGCGCTCGTTAGCTGCAAACGGCAGCCGGGTGTGGGGGGGAGGGTTATTTTGTGCAGAACTGATCAATGCCCCCTGCAAGGAAGGGCACAGGGAAACTTTGTGGTCGTTGTAAGTTAAATAGTTTTTAAGGAATATATCGAAATGTTTTTAGACCAAAGGAGGGAATGTGTCTCGGTGGGTTGTGTTTTTATATGATGATGATAATAATAATAATAACGGCGTAATCGCCAGTAGATTATTTTGAGAGTTAGGCAGCGAAAGTGTTTGTCAAAACATACCAAAGTGTTCTTCCCATTTTTATTATGACAACTTAATGATTTAACTTAAAAGGTTTGTGTGTATCTTGAAGATAATTTAATGACCCCCCCCCAATGCTGTATTAAATGACTTTGTGCGTGTGTGTTTTTTAAGTTAAGACTAAAAGCCAACAATTGTACTCTGTTCGCCATTTTATTCAACTTTTTCTCTCGAAGGGTTACAAACCAAGGCTCTAACAAAGCAACACTCAAAGCGAGTAGAGAGATTTTTAGACGGCGTGCGCTCTCATCTCTCAATTTCCCTCTCAAACTCTCCTATTTTTGTCTCATCATCATCATCGTCGTCGTCGGCGCGTGGAGACTGACCGGCCCGTTAAATGAACTCGCAGCAAACCGGTCTGTCCCAGCAAACCTCGACTGCTCACATCTATCGCTGCACGCGCTTCCACACAAACGCAGTCCCCCGCGTCGAGATCTGCCCGAGATTTAATTCTCGCTTAAAGTGCGACGCTTCTTATTGGCGCTTTTAAAGCCTCCCGTGATTATTCGCGTGCACCGTTAAAATCCGTTCTCGTTCATCCGTTTGGTGTCGGTGCCCCCCCCCCCCGCCCGCGGTCCCCCCTTTTTGCGCGTGCCGACCGCTACCACACTGTTGACACGCACGGGAAGTGATGGGAGCGGTTTTCTCCGGAGCGTCCTTCCGGAACGATGGCGGCGTCGTGCACCCAACCCACCGCCCCACACCACCAAATTGCACCGACCAACATCTGCATCGTTGCGGGGAAACGCACAATCCCCCCCCCCCCGCACCTCGGCGTTTTGCCGAGGTGGGCGGGGGGAGGGTTAATAGGGGAGATGTTGCCACATCTGCACCTATGAAAGCGTTTTAACTTGCCAAGAAGAGCGTTAATCCGGCCTGTGGGCTTTCACGGAACTGGGGAGAGGGGGGAGCGACTGGCTGATGGGGAGGAATGATTCATAAATTAATCTTGGGTTGCAAACTCAAACTGTTCGCGTGGTAGTCTGCGCTTGAGTGCGCAAGCGGCGTCCTTGCGCGCATGCCGGGTTGGTTGTTAAAGCGCGGGGGTCCAAACCCACGCGCTCTGCCGCGTTCCCGTCATTCCGCCCCATCGGATGCTCTTCCTGGATTCGCGAAGCCAGAAGCGTTACAACCCTCATTGACGGAAACGTCCCCCCCCTCCCAGCCTCCTCCATTCCACGACATCTCTCTTTACCCCCTCCCCGCCTTCTCCAACTCTCGTCCAGTATTTTTTACAATTGACCGAATGCTGTTCGTGGTTGTTTTTTAGGGGTATTACTTTTTAACTTGGTATTTATAATCGCAGGCTCTCTCTGTGTGCCCAAAGGGAACGCCGCTTGGAATCGAGTTGGGGGCAATGCTTTGGAAAGGGGGCCCCCTCTGTTTGCATTTCACGAGGCTGTCATTGTTGAGCAATTTTTATGTAACTGCAAGTGAACACATTACAAGTGCCCTTTGTGAACTAGTCGTGAAACCTGACTTAATTGTTCGTGAGGTCTATATATATATTAAGCAGTTTCTTTTTTAAAGGTTTTTTGTGCGTTTGTTTTTCTTAAAAAGAATAAAGATTTTAATCTTAATCTGCCTTTGCCTCCTGTGTGTGCACGTGTGTGTGTGTGTGTGTAATAGGTTAATTAAGCCTAAAATGAGTGCCTGGTGCGGTGTGTAAACGTTGCTACTAGGGGAGACAAAGGCGGTCGGGCGTGGTGCTGGCCACCCACCCCCTCGTGTGCCGTGCCGGCCTTCATAGGTGCTGCTCGCTAACAGCACTTGCCCCAACATTCTGCGCGGGCTATACGGGTGATCTTTGTACTTGCATATGCGCCCATGCAAATGGCCCTTAATCCGCGATCTCATTCATTTATATGTAAATACAACTCTGGGGTGGGTGCCTGGCAGGAGAGGGGATTACTCCTGCTGGGGAGCTGTCCCCTGTTAATCTGTTACATCGGGGGCAGCAGCAGTTGAAAATAAACCCGAGGAAGCTCACTCACTCCCTCCCCCACCCACCCACGCACCCACGCCACCACCAACCCCACAGATGTGGCCACTTAACGTTGAGAGAGGGTGGTGGTGGTGGTGTGTGGGGGGGGGTGAAATTGCTGATGATCAATCGAGTCAAAAGGTTTTTTCTCTCTCCCCCCCACCCCCCAACATTGCCGGAACGTGAATTCGTCCTCAAGCAGCGGCAGCGGCGGCCACGCTCCATCCACTGCTGGATGAAGCCCCCCAAACCGATGCCGCCTTCACAGCCCAGCGATGTAACTATCCACGCAACAGCAGAAGCACCGCACACACGAACTGATTTCATGATCGTTGTTGATCACCTGAACTTGCGCCGTCTGTGTGGGTAGCGGTTAGCGCTACGCTGCGCTACGAACCCGGCGACCCGAGTTCGATTCCCGCTCACGGCCAACACCGGTGACGATCATCTGAACCGGTACCTGGGCCTCCCCTAGGTCGACTCAGCCTCAAATGAGTAGCTGGGGCTTGCGTAGGAAACGTCGCCACTGGGGGGACAAAGGCGGCCGGGCGTGGTGTTGGCCACCCACCCCCCGTCTCGTGTGCCGTGCCGGCCTTCATAGATGTCCGCTGACGGCACTTGCCCCGACAGTCTGTGAAGGCTATATGGGAGGTCTCTGTCTTTGTTAAGAGTGACCCGGGTGGTCATGTAGCCTGCCCCCCCCCATCTATTGTGCGACTCGTTTGGTGGTGGTGGTGGCGATGGTGGAGGGGAGAGGAGGAATGTCCGGGTGATGTTGATTTTTTTTCTTCTTCCGATTGTGACTCAGCGCTGACTCACGAACAGCGGGGTTCACCACCCAGCTTGGAGGCATTAAAGTACTGCAGCGGCGGCGCCGTGTAGCAGCAGACCTGACCCCCCCCCCCCGAACCAGTCCACGTGACGGAGCACTCCCCCCCCCCCCCCCCCACTAGCCGAGTTAAAACAAAGGGGATAACAAACATGGTCAAAAATAAATAAATCTATCTCTCCGTGCGGAGGTTGGGAGTGTTACCTCCCTCTCGCATGTGGGGGTGGGGGGGGTTCTCCTCTATAAGATCTTGATTGAGAACGGAATTCTTGAGAACTTCCCTTTGT